CCATCCTGAGAAGCAGAGCTGCCCAGCTGACTGGCAGCTGCATAAGCGAGCTTAGGTGAGGCTAGAAGAATAGCCCTGCTGAATCCCACCCAAATGGCTAAGTTACAGAATCATTAGCTACATACATGGTTGCTATTTAAGCCACTAAATTTGGGGGCATCTGTTGCATGGCAGAAGCTAACTGCTACATAAGCCAAATTAGAAATCAAATGTTTAGGTAAAAAGAAACATTTTAAGATATGAAAGGTTTCAACCTCCCATTCCCCCTTCTCAGAAGAGAATTCCCAAAATGTTGTGAAGAGGAGTTAAGACCACCACCTGCGGAGTAGACCAGACTGTACTAGGGCAGAAAGACCATAGCTCTAGGAGGGACATCCCCAAAGGGAAAATAATGAACTGAGAGATTACCTGATGTGTTAGATCCTACTGTGAGCTTTACATTTCTATTGCAGAGTTCATACATGGATTATTGATAAATATATAGAAAACAAGCAAACGAAAAGGGAGAAAAAAAGTCATATGTGAAAAGGAAAATAATCATGTGATTAATAAGATAAACAGTGACTAGTGCTTTAACTACAAAATGTGATTCAGTCTTTTGTTTTCTTTTTTTTTTAACGGAGGTACTGGGGATTGAACCCAGGTCTTGGTGCATGCTAAGCATGAGCTCTACCACTGGCCTATACCATCCCCTGGAGTCAGTCATTTTTGATGACAATGGGAAAAAGTGTGTGTGTGGGGGGGTGTCTGCCTGAGACAAAATAGATACACAGACAGATTCTCATAATTCATAATCTAAATATGAAATATTTAAAAACAGAAGCATAAACATTTCATTTACAAATGAGAAGATAAACAAGCTAGAGAGAGCTGAAAGTGGCTGGTTCTAAGTGGGAATAAGGGGAAGAGGGAGAGAAAAGTCAGGTACTGATTTTTTTCATTTTGAGCTCTGCATTATTACTTGACTTTTTAGACTTAGCACTAATAATATTTTGATTAAAAGTAAAAATTAAAACATGCCATGTCTTAACTTTTCCATAAGTTTAAATATTTTCAAAATATAAATTTGGGAGTAAAGAAAGATAAGCAAACAAAAATCACGTGGAAGCGTGCAGCTTACAGTGCTTTGCCAGACCATACTGTCACCCTGGAGCATGAGCCCCTCCTATCGGGGCCAACACAACTGAAACAGATCCCCTGCAGCGCCAGTGCACATCTACCACGGACAGTGGACTAAACAGATGAGTTCATTTAGTCTCATGCTGATTTCCTTACTCTTTCTTGTCTAACTCCTCAGAATGAAAAACAGTGAAACTAGAAAGTTAGAGGTAATCCAAATAAAGAAGTAAGCAAATTTTTGGCATGTTAGGTCGAACTTTTTTTTTTTTTGACTACTGTCTGACTTTTGCCTTGTAATCTTAAAGCAGGATGGAAGGGATGGAAGTATAAGTGTGAATTTTTGGATACTCCTAAGAAGCACTAACTCAAGTATCAAACAAGCCCTGTGCACTTACAACATGGAAAGAATAGTGCTACAGACGAAGGATACTACCTCTTGTATACCTTATGTAGCAGATGGTGAAAATTCACCACCAGATCCCTTCCCACCTATCTGCATACACTGATGGAAATGCTAAATACCTGTTTTTTTAGCCTCCTTCACAACAAGCAGATATACGAACATACTTCTGGACAGTGAGCTATAAGCAGTTTCCCAGAAGCTTCGGAGAACATTTTTTTCCTTCAAAGGATGGACAGAGTCACCATCCCTTCCTGTCATCTCCCTGCCTGGAACATAGCTATGGGGCCTCAGAGCTCTACAGCTATGTGACGAGGAGAGAAATGAAGAAAGAATCTCAGTGGTGCAAATGCTAACATCAGCTGAGCTAATACCAACGTCCACCAACCTTTTAACCTTTTGTTATACAAGAAAAATAAATCCTCTATTTATTAATTATTATTAATTACCATTATTAATTGTGTTTTGCTACTTATAGCTGAAAATATTCCTGATACCACTTACAAAAATCTTTTTGAAAAATTTTAAATGTTTTACAGTTTAAACTAGTTAAATCCCATACTATTTCGTAAAAAACACATTCCATTACCTGAAAGCAAATCATCTCACCTCATTCTTCCATAGATGATACTGTAGTGCAAATGCAGTAAAGTCTCTTGGAACACAGAAAAACCTGCATTCTGAAGTGGAGCCATGAGAAGCATTCTTGACTTGTTCTAAGTTTTTATTAATCAATTCCAGAATCAAAGGATCAATAAGGAACACAGGAATATTTTGACTCGATGTTAGCATAACAAATTTTTTAACTGCACGCTGTTTGAGAGGAAAAGAATCCCCTTAATTCTTCTAAACTAATACAACAATCTATCTTACTTTTTTTTATTCATTAATTTTATAAGAATATACAGAGTGTTTCACAGAAACCATGTATATTATTTGGCTAAAAAACACACATAAATGAATAATACACTGTCCCTCTTCTCAAGAAGTACAGTCTACTGAGGAAGATAAACAAATATTTACAAGGTAAAATATGTTACAGTAAAAATGTTTGTAACATAAAGTACAGAACAGTAAGCTACCCTTTCCCCTCAGACTACACAGAGCAAAACACCTCCTACTTTCAATAAATTAAAGGTTCACAACGATACTTCTAGACTTGATAGTTGAGGAGCCTGATACAGGATTTTACCTTTTTACCCAGGCTTTATCTTTTAAAAAGTAGTTCAAATCCAACCGGTATCAGCAATGACCTAAAATTATCATTGCTTTACAGGTGCTTGGTGATTTGAAAACCCACACCTAACATAAAGCCTTCCATGACTCTGGTTAAAGAGAAGCCAAAGATTGAAATGCATCTACAAGAAATATCTAGTCATATCCAAAGCATAGGCTAACAGGATAAATGTAATTTTTTAGTATTGTTTTTCATCCTAAATTTGATTAGAAAAAAAGTAAGAAGTATGTTTTCTAAATGTACAGGCTCCAAAACAGAGATTTATTGTACATCTTGCTAGTTTTCCTTATCTTAAAAAGGAATATATTGAAGAGATTTTTATTCCTAATCATTATTTACCCTTATTCTTGGGTCAATTCTGATTCATTTGGGGAAGCACCATAGCTTAGTGAAAAAGGATTTTGGAAGCAAGCAGTTAGAATCTGGACTCAGTCACTTATTAGCCAACTAACCTTAATCCTTCTAAGTTAATTGAGGATAAACATGTATAGTGACTCTTTAAAGTTTCCATAAGGACTAAATGACATACTGCAGGTACAGCTCTTGGCACAGGGTCTGCTCCTTCACCTCTATCACCTACTCTCACCTCCCACCGAGCTAGCTACTATCATTGCCATCATTCAACAAATACTTATTAAGTACACAAATGAATGAACTAAATGAACATGGCAATTGAGGAATTTCTTGATTATTATACACACCCATTGTGTGCCATCAAATCCAATTCGGCTTCCTTTGGATTTTGATAAACCAGCTCCATTCTAGGAAGATAAAAAAAATTTTTTTGGTAAATTCAAAGCCCAGTATTCAACATTACATTTAGGTTATGTATGAGATCCAACCTATATAATTGGCTCATAATCATTACAGAGCATTATCCTGCTGAAGAGGCTGTGGAGAAAAGGGAACCCGCCTACACTGCTGGTGGGAATGCAGTTTGGTGTAGCCACTGTGGAAAACAGTATCTTCCTCAAAAGACTAGGAATAGACTTACCATATGACCCAGACATCCTGCTCCTGGGCATATATCCAGAAGGAACCCTACTTCAAAAAGACACCTGCACCTCAATGTTCAGAGCAGCACTATTTACAATAGCCAAGACATGGAAACAGCCTAAATGTCCATCAACAGATGACTGGATAAAGAAGATGTGGTATATTTATACAATGGAGTACTATTCAGCCATAAAAATGACAACATAACGCCATTTGCAGCAACATGGATGTCCCTGGAGAATGTCATTCTAAGTGAAGTAAGCCAGAAAGAGAAAGAAAAATACCATATGAGATCACTCATATGTGGTGGAATCTAAAAAAATAAAAGAACATAAATACAAAACAGAAACAGACTCATAGACATAGAATACAAACTTGTGGTTGCCAAGGGGGAGGGGGATGGGAAGGGACAGACTCAGAGTTCAAAATTTGTAGACACTGACAGGCATACGTAGAATAGACAAACAAGATTGTACTGCATCACAGGGAAATATATATAAGATCTTGTGGTAGCTCACAGCAAAAAAAAATGTGACAATGATGTTCAAGTATGTTCATGTATAACTGAAAAATTGTGCTCTACACTGGAATTTGACACATTGTAAAATGACTATAACTCAATAAAAAAAGTTTAAAAAACAAAGCATTATCCAAATACCTATTTTAATACAGTCATGAGCTAAGAACTCTATAATTATGTAATACAACTAACCAAGACAGAAAACACTGATGGACTGCTGTTAAGTTAATAAAGTTATTAAACAGGCATATATGATCAAGAGCTCTGAATCAATTAATTTCCATCAATTAATAGTAAACTTTTTGCTATCTCTTTGGAATTAGTGTTTATCCATTTAGCTCCACATCCCTAACTTTAACTTGCCTCTGCACACTGAGTTAGTGTTTGTACATCTTGGCAAAGTGATAAGAAAGTATAATAATAATTATTGAGCAGCTCCTAAGTGTACTGTTTGATACATATATGAATTATGTATTCTCATCTATCCTGCAAAGTAGGCATTACTATTTCTGTTTTACCAAGAGCTTCAGTGCCCACACTTTTCCTAACATACATCATACTTTTAAATTTGAGTTATTTTTTAAAGAGTATTTAAAAAAAAAATTCAGGTCTAGAGAATCAGAAGGAAAAAAGCATTATCAGTTTTCATCTGTCAAACCCTATAACACTTTGAAAGCCAGAGGAAAAAGAATGTCTGATGGTTTAGAGATAAGAGGAAGAATATTTCAAGCTCAAAGAAGACCCAAAGACGTTTCTTATGCCTTGAATGTGTTCTTTATAAGACAGATGGGAGGATTTTGAAGAACAATAAAAAATACCCTCACCCTAAGAATGAAATGTGCTCCAAGTTCCTAAATAGGATACTCCCTTCCCCACTGAACTGCAACCTTGAGTGCAGGGACCATCTCCTATCCATCTTTATATCACCATCTCCTATCCATCTTTATATCACCAGTCCCTAGCATAGTGCTTGGTACTTAGTGTGTCTAACATTCCACCAGCCAAAGTACATCTCATGGTCAGGCTTAACTGGGGCAGGGAAGTATCCTCCCCATTGGGAGGGAGAGAGAAGTTCTGAAGAATAGTTCTAATTATCAAATGAGGATAAAAAATCAAAACCAAAAATGTATTTTCCCCTCAGGGTTGTTTTCGGGGTTAAATCAAGCATGGGAGGTATCTAGCACAGCTCTCAATAATGGTAGTTATTATTATAATTAACACCAGGCGGAGTGTTTGGCAACTTTTCACAATCAGCACTACCTTCTCAACTCTGGAATTTCTTATCTGGACTGCAAACATATATTATGTATGATTTGCAGAAGTTACCAGTTTCCAAATCATTGCCTCTACATCTTTATGCCTACAGGTTTATAGTAAAGTTATAATACTACAATTCCCTGTTGGGTACTAAATTAAAATATACTTCGTACAAAAATAAACTAATTCTAATATTTTATCAAAATCATTTATCATTGAATTCTCTTAAATGAGGAATGATCTGTTGGAAGAACAATTTTCACATAACTATATCAGAAAATGTCAACATTACTGAAACTTGGTAACTTTGACTTTTAACTGCAATTTTGAATCGCTTGCCACACCCACAAAGATGAAAATCTCAAAGTAGTATTTCTGCAAGGATTTGAAAAACTGTGATTAATTTTATATACTGTAAGAGGGAAGTATGTTAAGAAAATACACAGCTAAAATGAAGTCAAAGGATGAGGAAGGAAAAAAAAATTACCTTTGCTGATAAATAGTGCTTGTAGTAGTACAACTGAAACAGCAGAAATGCAGAACTTGTCAAAGTTAAAAGCGCCAAAATCACGTTCTTATTGATTCTACACATTAGTCTGTGGTGCTCACTTGGTTGCCTTTTGATGGTAACCCCATTGGTTTCATCTTTTTGGATAAGAAGATAATCTTGTTTTCTGTGAACAGAAAGATATTTATTTCTAAAGAGACAAAAACTTATTTTTGATTTTTTATCTATATTAACCAAGAAAAAGCGATCTAAAGGTCAACAAAAAATTCTTTGACTTGGTAATTTCCTATCCTAAAGAAATAATCAGGTATGAGACCAAAGAACAAAAATGTTTATCATGGCATTATTTATAACTGCAAATAACAGAAAACCATAAATGGGATATCCATAAAAACTGACAACAGAGATTGGGGGGCTTCTCCCCCAGAATTTCTGATTCAGTAGATCTAGGGTGAGGCCCCGGAAGTTGCATTTCTGACGAGTTCCCAGGCGACGCTGATGCCACTGAACATATTTCCACAGACAAAAAACAGAGAAAGTTTTTGGTCAAGGAACATCATCTGTATATGCTCTCGGTTGTTTTCTCTGATGTAGGATGTGGTCAGTTTTTATAAAATCCCATGTAGGTGTTCAGTATTTTGCAAGTATAAAGAAAGCCATGATAAAAATTTTTGTTCTTTCATCTTTGGTCTCATCTGATTATTCCTTTAGAACAAGAAATTTAATATAGTTCTAATTCTTACCTCCTCTCCACTGTTTGATTTTGGTCAAATATAGTTAGTGCTTCAAATGTTTATCCTTATTCCTTTAAATATACTAAATACTTCTATTACTTGATGCCTAAACTTTGTGTATCTATAGTTTTCTAGCTAAAAAATAAGAGGAAATCAGCAAATTTATATTACCTTCTGCCTCTCCTCTTTCAATCCTGACTTTTATTAGCTATTTCTACCTTGTTATAGTTCTATTGTATTCTGTAACTAAAAGTCTTATTCTTACTGTGTTCCCTGCCAATCTCTTTGCTGTATCATCTCTGTTCATCTACTGGATGGCTGATTCTCATCTTCTTAGAACTTATGGGCACAATTTACCTTCAGTTCTTGCATTATTTAAAAACAGTCGTCAACTAACAGTTTGGCTTTGAGGACACACTTTTTTCTCCCGGTGACTTACAGGATTTGCCACAAACACTTCCTTGACAACATGTGATCCTTCCCCTGACACTCCCCTATAGGTAAGTTGATCTTTTTAATGGGATGAGCAAGAACGCACTCCTTATCTTTCAAATCCATTAAAAAAAAAAAGCTAGGTTATGTAATGATGTTGATGGCTGTATATTAGTTTTTCTTCATTATGTACCCTTTCAATCTGTAGAATCAAGATTTCTTTTCTTTGTGGCAAGTCTTTTAAGTTATATGCTTGAGTACTTTTCTGATCTAATGTTGAATTCTCTATTTCCAGAACTACAATTAAACATTTGTTCTATCTCCTTTCATTCCCCTTTCACTTTGCTCAACTTTCAAAAGCTTGTCATGTCCCTGAGTTTTCAGCAATGTGAATTCTCTCTTTTGCTTCCAATGTGCCCTTTTATTTCTGATTTTATTTTTCTTTCTTCTTTCTTGTGCCCTGCCAGGTTATGATTTACTATTTACTGTTGTCTTACTATTTCTTCTTAGCTAATTAACCTTCTCTATTATTTTAAAGAAGTGATTGTTTCATTAAATTTGTTAGGCCAATACAGTTTTCTCGTGGTTCTCGTGGCTTCTTTGTTACTTGTTCTTCCCTGCTTCTTTTCTCTTTTCTTCTTATTATTTGTCTTTAAATAACAAAACTCCACGCAGGTCAATTACTTGCAAGACTGTGGAATCCACTTACACATGAATTTTTTTTTCAATAATAAATAATACAGTACTACACAATCTGTTTTTGACTGAACTGGGTGTAGAGCTGCAGATACGGAGGGCTGACTGTAAGTTACGTGTGCATTTTCAACTGCAGGGAGGTGTAAAATAAAGAATGGTGCCTACCAGCCTTGTACAAGAATCAAGTCATTAGCCACTGCAGTCACTGACCTGCAATAAACCTGAAGGGAATTCAGGGTGAAGACCAGGACGAGGCACTCTGTGCCCCAGCAAAACAGGTCTTTAGGTAGTCAGAAATATTCCAGGAGAAATGTTTTATGAACCTGGCCTCTTGCATCTTTCCATCCTGACAAAAGCACTAAAATCATTCACTGAGATCTGTTCCTCATGACCAGCAGCAACCTCTACTGAGAGGTGTCCCAAGTGAATGAACTTCTCTGCCAAAATCACATACCTACTGACCACCCCCCACCTCTTCAGAGCAGATCCTCAGAGCTATCTGAGAGGCTGTCTCTCAGGCTACAGTTCTCAGTAAGTCCCAAATAAAAGCAAAACTCACAGCTCTCACGTTGTGTGTCTTTATTTCAGAAGGCTGGCCCCTCTAACCTCTGTGTTGCCCAAGTGTCAACAGAACATTCAAGGGTGTTCACAATCTGACTGAACACAAGCAAAAATTCTGGGCTTTCTCCCACTTTACACGTTTTATGGTTTTTGCTCAGGTGGTCCTGGAGTACATACCACACTTTCCTGCCTCTTTGCTTTGATCATTCCCTCTTGTCCGAAATGTTCTCATCCATTTCCATAGAACCAGTTCTAGGCCTCTTTTTCATAGCTTCTCTCAAGTGACCTTTCTTTTATGAAGTCTCTCATGCTCTTCCAAGTCAGAAGTGCTCTCTCCTAGCTCCAAACTCCTAGTTTTACCTTCTTGCAGTGAGTAAACATTTACTGTCTACCTTAAGAGGCACAGATGCCAATAAAATGCTAAGCACTGGAGAGAAAACGATAAAATACAGTTCCCTATTTTCTAAGAGTTCAGAGATGAGTATATGAGTTTTCAAAAGAAGAACGGTGATGGCGATAGAGGGTGTGATGTCCTAAAGAAGAGCACGCGAAGTTATTTTCTAAAACGCTCAAGTGCCATCCTTACCACCTTCACATCTGTTAAGAACCACTGCTCTGGCATGTGACACTATCAGAGATAAATACAGGAGCAATAACAACAGTGTAATGGTCATGCAGGAATAAGTACAGGTTACTATGCAGCACAAGCGAGGCAACTAACCCTAAGGCTTTTACTACTTTCTATTTTGGATTATAGTTATTAGAATGCATGAGTCATCTCCCCTACCAGCCTAAAACTGGTTGAATTAATACCAAGAAATAATGAGTACACAAAGTATGCTCAAGTATACTGCACAATGCTCAAGAGAACACAAAAAGCTATTTTTAAGTTTTTTTTAAAAGTTCTCTGTCCTACAGGAACTTTTATAATAAAACAGAATATGAAATATGAAAAAGCAAATTTTTTAGAGCTTAAAGCCTATACTTGGTTCCAGCTCAAGTAACACATGGAGAAATATGACATAGAACCAAGATAAAAATATTTGTGTTTCTGTTTCTTTTCATGTGTGACTTTTTAGCTATCACAATAAAAATGCTGGGGATGTAAAGTATTTTCTTACTTATACTTAGGGAAAGCTTCCTAAAGAAAACAGTATATCATGTCCAACAGAAAAGAAGAAAGAATACTGCAGAGATCATGAATTTAAATGAGGGGAGAAAAAAAGAAAAAATATATAGCAAATGTTTTCAGGGAAAAAAGATGCAATGGGGACACTTAGGGGCGTTAATGAGGTTTAAATAACCAAGTACCAAGTTCTAATGCAACTATGAGAAGGTTAATATGAGTATGGCATATTACAGCACAGAATTAACCTCAGATGACCTGGAGGCAGGCTCTAACTAGTGCATGAACTGGGATTTGGCAATGAAGAAGAAAGGAGTGGGCAGATATGCTTCCCAACTGAAACTTTAACGGGTTACAGATGTCACAGTTCTCAGTCCTCTCAGTCTTGGAGCCTGGGGGAGCTACAGCCGAAGACTGTCACCTCCAGCCAAGGACAGACACATTCTTTTACCCTTTCTTTCATCCTTTATGATCAATTCCACTTTGTGTCAAGGTACGAGAAAGGTTGGAAAAAAACTGGTGGTAGATGAAAATCACACACAAATTTGAAGGAAAAACGTACAGGATGGGAAGTTCAAGATAGTTCTCAGGCTCTTGCTACAGCTTCTTCCAGCTTCCCATTTCCCTTTCGCATTATCATGTGTTACCTGGTGGTAACGGTATGAAAGAGTTTGGCACCTGGCTTAACCTGACATCCCACCACTACCACTACCACTACCACTACCACTCTACTGAGAATCTCTGGGTGAGGGTCTGTTTGAAAGATATTTCCAACTGCCTGACTTTTCAATCCCACTTCTCCCCACTACTGCCTTCTACATCAGCTCTCTTGACATCAAAGGCCCTCAAACAAGAAATAACCAGCCCTGACGCTGAACTTGGGTTCATAAGATGATGTGTGCTAGCCTGGTCCCTTCAGTGCTAATAGATTCAATTTATTCAGGGGCACTAAGGAGTGAGAGGGAGGCACAGGCGGTATGAATCAGACAGAACTGAGATTCAACTATGCCCTGCACTGCAAAATAAAACAGGAGGATAAACTACAGAGAAGAAAGAGGGCGGTGCAAATACGCAAAGGCATGTTTAAAGATGACATAGAAGATTGGAAAACAGAGAAAATACTTCTGAAGATGTTTTCGGAGATTCAGAGTTAAGATGAAAAAAACAACATTTTCAGCTGCTCCAAGCCAAAAAAACCCCAATAGTGACAGATGCTATCCATCGTCCCTAAATACTGCTGGCCCTCCATGCTGTTCATTTTCTTTCCTTTCATTGCTAACTTTGCAAAAGTTTCAGGAGCCTGGAAGTAAAGGCTAGACTGTAAGAGTTTAAGAAGTCTCTTTATCTGCTTACCACTCATTCACTTCTTAACCCTTTGCAATATAACTTCTCTAAACATGCTGATGCTTGAAGATTAACAAATTAGTCTCTCCATTTGGTGCTCTAGAAAAATCATAAATACATAATGACCCCTTTAGAAATGACTATGGAGTAGTGAAGTTTTGGAAAGAGAGTGTCTGAAATGATACACCTAGATAAGAAAGGCTAGATAAGAAAGGAAGTGAAGGCAGGAGGAGGGTATCACAGGGGAAAAGTAAAAGGGTAAAGGAAGTGGTATTGCCTAATATGTCTACTATTTTCTGTGTTTGATATAAAATCTGGATGGATGCTCTCTTTACATTCTCTTGCTCCTAATCATTTTATTAGATATACTTTCATATCTATTGACTAATTACCACTTATAAATATTTCACCAGACTGCTGGATATGTCCTCTTGAACGTTCCACCAGGACCTAAAATTAATCATTGTCCACTGTCAAACCAGATTTCTTTCATGACTTGCTCTTCTGTTCTGTTCATGGTATCCCTATTTTCTTAATTATTTATGTTCAAAACAAAATAGCTTCTGTGGTTCTAACTCCACATCTAACGAGTCAACAAACTGTACATTCTTCTCAGTGCCTCTAAAAGCTGTCATTTCTTTCCCATTTCCAGTACAGTGAGCCTAATTTAAAGACCTTATTACCTCTGCCTAGATAGGAAGCCTCCTACCTGAATACAGATAGTCCCTGACTTACAATGGTTCGATTTATGGTTTTTTGACTTTACAATGCTGCAAGAGTGATTCAGTAGAAACCACACCTGAATTGTGATCTTTTCCCAGGTGAGCAGTAAGTACTACGTAGTCCCTCAAGATGCTGGGCACAGCAACAAGCCACAGCTCCCAGCCAACCACATGATCACAATAAATAACCAACACATACAGTCATTCTGCTTTTCATTTTCAGTATTCAATAAATTATGAGATAGTCAATGCTTTATTATGACAGACTTTGGGTTAGATGACTCTGCCCAACTGTAGGCTAATGTAAGCGTTCAGAGGATTTTCAAGGTAGGCTAAGCTAAGCTATAATGTGCGGTAGGTTAGGTGTACTGAATGCATTTTCAACTTACGATATTTTCCACTTATGAGGGGTTTATCAAATTGAGGAAAAATCTGTACTCTGCTACCAGGCTTTCCTCAAAATACCCATCTTACGGACTACAGTCCAGTCATTTCTACAGTACCACTTTAAGAATTTCCCTTGCTTTAAGGTGTTTTTTTAGCACCATTCCCCTAAATGACCCCACTGATACAGTGCTCTCTCAACTCAGTGCATTTGCCTATGCTCTTTCTTCTATCTATAATGCTCTCTCCCTCCATACCTGGCCCCTCTCACTGTCTTTTGAGTATTAAGAGCTTAGCTCCGAAGACAGACTGTCGTGTTCAAATCCTGCTCTGCCACTTGTAGCCTATACGTATGTCCCTATTAGACAGGTTACTTAATCTCTCTACATTCCCATCTTTAAAATGGATCTAGAAATTTTACTTGACTCACAGGGCTGTTCTGAGGACTTAACAGATTAATACATGTAAAGCACCAAATAGTAGCTAAACATGGTAAGTACACAATAAATACTAACAATAATTAATAACTGTCACCTTAAAGGCCTACTAGCAAATCCTTCTGCTCTCAGACAAGAAAAGTTCCCCTCTTTCCTATCCCCCACAGCACTGTAAATCTGTACTCTTTTTGCATTCAGTCTTTATTAATTACAGTTCTCTGAGACAGGAGGTCATCATATGCTTCCATATTCCCCAGTATTCCATAGTCCGTCTTCTTAAATAGTAGAGTTTAAGCATAGACATTGATTTTTAAGATTTATGATGGACTTCTGTTGCCCTAGTAGAGTATTCGAGGTCAGTGGTGAATGTGAGCAGCTGCAGGTGACGAGTGACAGCCAGAGCTCATGTCACACAGGTCAGTTTGGTCTGTCACTCCATTCATTCATTTTTCCATTAAGTTCCCAAATATTACTGAGCCCTGAGTACATCCTACAGACGCCAGGCAAGCTGCTAGCTGCTCCCTATCACAAGACACTGCAGTATAAACAACAGATTATGATTATTTCAAAGGCAGCAGAAATTTGAGGAATCAAGGATTTCTTTTGACCCAAACATTCTTTACATACGTTATTTCATGGGTCATTTAAGAGCTACCTTAGTGAGTGTACACACGAGAGTAAGAACAGTGGTTGTCTTGGGTTGGGAGGACTGTAGGTGCTTTTGTCTTTTTTTTATTTTAATCCCATGTGAATACCAATTGATTCTGTAATAAGGGAAAAAAGACTAACTTTTCAAAAAAACTTAAAAAAAAATTTCACTCTATGGCTTAATTAACAGGTACTACAGCCCACACACAGTACAAGCTTTAATTATCTTAGTATCTTTTAATTTTTGGAGTAACAGAATAGTGTTAAACCAAGTTATCATTAACTGAATAAAGTCTTCCCCTCAAGAATACAAGTACTTAACAGCCTGTGTGAGGATATTTGGATATTGATCTTAGTAAAACTATAAAGCTAACAGAATGAAACACAGGGCTCAACGTGTTTAATTAAGTACTTAGTACAACACATAAAGTGTGAATATATGGACAAACATAAAATCTGGATGGATGTTCACCAAAATATCGATAATGGCCATTTCCAGGTAGGGGAAATTGGGGTCATTTTTATATTGTTCTTTATGCCGTTCTATATTGTCCCAATACTTTTATAATGAGCTTACATTATTTTCATGGACAATAAAAATACTCATAAAAACAGATGATAAGTAGTAGTGGCTTAATGCCTGCTAGACAAATCTATAACTTTGCTACTTAAAATACAGTCCTCAGACCAGCAATGTTAGCATCATGTTGAAGTTTGTCAAAATACAGAATTTTCAGGCCCTACTGCAGATCTAGTGATTAAGAATCCACATTTTAACAAGATCCTCAGGCGATTCACACGTGCATATTAATATGTGAAAAGCACTGATGTAGACACTAAGGCCTTTACATGCAGGGACGACAGGGACATCTGCCTTCTTCACTGTATATCCCTAGCACCCAGCAGTGCCTGAAACATGTAAGTATCTGTTGAATAAATAAATATGTAAACAACATTACTTCTGAATAGACAATCAGAATGACAGTGGAGATTATATCTATTTGAAATATTTATTTTCTGTCAGAGTTCCCAGAAATGGTTGCTTAATGTTTATTGTAAATACTGTTAAACTATTTTAATAAAAATGTCACCCCAAGAATCTACTATGACTATATGTAACCCTTTTTAAAAAGGAGTCCTTGCTTATTGCTCTGAGATCTCCATGTCTCCTTCAGTCATTTCTCTAGTCTCCTATCCATGGGCACACCCTTTAGTTACTCTCTTTACAATCTCTCTCACACAACAAAATCATTTCCAAGATTTTAACTGTAACCTCTGAGGGAAAACTTAATACTTAAGTTCCAGTCTATAAACTCCATGTGGTTATATATTCAACTCTATTTTCTACACCTCAAATTTAACAATTTTATTTTCTATCAACTCTCTCCCTCTCCCCTTCAGAAGTAGTTCTCCATCCTCACAGACTCATGTTTTACAGGTTTTAGTGAAAAGAGACCACAGAGTCCAACAAATCGTTTAACAGAGGAGAATAGGATATAGAAGAATTAAATGACAGCCCCAGAGGCTAGTTATTTGGCAACACCAGAGCTACAATCTGAATCATCTTACTCCCAACACATTATTTGCTGGATTCTGACAGAATTCTCATTTTTGTCAACAGCACTTAAACTCACTTTTTAGAGACACAGGTTCAAAACATCCATCACATAGATTCAAGAAATCAAGTCCTATATACTGTGGACATTTCTCTCATTCCTTTTTTCTTCCTTTTCAGAACATAATGCACTTTCTTTCCACTCCTTCAGCATCTAGTGGCATCCTTCCCAAATCCTCTATCCTCTCAAAATCTACCTCCACAAATAGACTTTAAATGCCTATTCTATCCTTCTCTACCTTTATCTATGGTGCTCAAAAGAAATGGTTCCTGAACCAAAATCTATCCCTTCTCAAAGTATAGCTCAGCCCCAGCCTTTTCTGTTTTTCCTAATTACTAATGCACTGTTCCATCACTCACTTCGATATTTGTTCACGGGCTGCAGTTTATTCTTTGGAGGCCTGCTATCTTCAAAAGTAGAAAGAACCTGATTATCATCTAGGTCCTCTTTTTACATCTGTGAAAACTGAGGCCCAGAGAGAAGTGACTAGCCTCACGTTACTTGAGAAACTGGTAATGGTGATGAAATCTGAACTCAGTTGCCCAGATTCCTATCCAAAGCTTCAGTCTTTCCCGACATCCCCCAGTTGATAATGCAAACAAAAGGCAGATGTCAAAGCCATACGAAACTTTACTTAGAATGGCTAGCAGTGTCCACCCCGTTACTAAGCACACAGAAGGGTCTCTTTAGTAAATACTCCTCCAATTAAATTAAAGTTGAAACCAGGGGGAAAGCATAAGAAGAGAAAGAGATGGTAAACTAATTACCTCCTCTCTAAAAAGCTGCCGTAGCTGCCCCGCCGCCCATGGAAAAACTCCACACTCCTTCATGGGGCATCAGGCCCTTCCCAGCTGACACCGAGTGTTAGCTCTTGCTACAGTCCTGGCCTCCCCTTCTCCGCACCCACCCCTCCAGACGTGACACTGATACGCAGTGCTGCCAAAACCTGGTAGTCCCTTTAATGCTTCTATACCTTTGCACACTTTGGTCCCATACCTGCAAAGGCCCCTCTATCCTCTCGCAAGTCCTGCAATGGTTCTCACAATCCTGCTCAAACGTCACTACTCCAACCGGGTCCTACAACGGTCTCAGCCGTCCTCCAAAACCAGACCTGTCCCGGGATGAGGACTTTTCTAGCTGACAGGCCCAGGAGCGTGGAAGGGACGCCTGAGTGCACGTCTGGCACGAGGTGCTCGTGGGCCGCCCCACTGAGTACCCCCACCCGGAGCGCGCTCGACCTGTGGCCCGGCTGGGCCGCCGGGGGCACGGCACGTGCCCAGAAGGCTGGGGGATGCCCAGTGAGGGCACCCGAGCCACCGGCGACACCTGCCTGGAAATGCCCGCCTGTCCCCGGCAGCCAAGCAAAGCTTCCCACAACTTACCTCACCCAGCAGCGCCGGCAACTGTGCTTTACGGCACGCACGGCAAGCGCTGCAAAAGGGGCCGTCAAGCACAGAGCCGAGCGTCCTGGTCTGGCTGGTGTCGGAAACGTTCCCACGGTCGGGTTAGTGGCTTCGGGTGATCTACGACCCCTGCTGTCTCCTCACGGCCCGAAGTTTACTGAGCCCTGGCGATTTCCTAACTTTTGGGATCTAGCCACTTAGCTAAATCCCTTTTATCTCTTGACTGGGTCACAACTACAGCAGAGCACTGAGATGGCCTGAAATTTGGGGAAGTGGTTCAAGAATTGGAGAGGCAGCCTCTGAGCTATTTCCCAGAGCGTGTGAGTTTCTAGATAAATGTAGGATGCCAGTTAAATACGAATTTCAGAGAAACAACGAATAATTTTTTAGTGTGTGTGTGTGCTCTGCAGAGGGATGCAGAATAAATCCCTGAATCCTGGTTTGGGTACCAGCAGGTGAGGCAGGGGATAGGGTGGAAAATAGTAGCTGCGTTCAATGTTGCTTTTGAGGTTGAGGTGCCTGCGGGACATCCAAGCTCTAGTGGACTGTCATACTCCTGTTTAGGTCTAGAAATATACACACATTCAATTCTGTACTTGGGTCTTTTAACGTTTACCTGTATAATCCAAGTGTTTATTAAGGATCAGATATGAATCAATTTTGACATAATTTTGAAAAGTATAAAACACTAAACAAATTACTGTAATTTTAAATTTTTTTCTACAAAAATTACTATTACCAGCCCATAGTGAAAATGAAAATCCTCCCCTCATATACTTGAGTTATTTTCTAAACTTTATTTTCTGGAAAAGTGTAAAGTGAAGTTTTTTCTTTCTCATTTCCCAGGGTTTAGGATCCTTATCAGTTTCTTGTTTTTCCCTTCCAGAAGTTTTCTGTGTACATACAAGCTTATTCTGAATATAACTGGACAAGGCTGGTTTTGAACCCAAGTTTTGCTACCTGCCACTGGAAAAGACAAGTGTTGATGGAAAAAGAAAAGTTAATTTATTCAGGAAGCCAGCAGCCTGGGAAGATGGTGGACTAATGTCCTAAGACCATCTCCACGTTGCCAGTTAGGAGACAAAGGTCTGAGGGAGGGGGCTGCTGGGTGCATGATCAGCTCATGCAGAGTTCTCAGACTGGTTGGCATCAAGGTGAAATTTCCAGCATCACTAGACTTCTGGTTTCAGCCAGTGTGCAGTCTACGTAATGTGGTCAGTTTTCATCTGGTAGGGGTCTGCTTCCTGTTAAGCTAATTTAGGAATGTGAGTCAGATCTTTCTATCTTTCAGGGAACTGAGAGTTCAGTGGCTCTATGTGGCTGGTTTATAGTCTAGATTGTTATCAATTTCCCCAGTCCAACAGCTGTTCTTTGCTTCTACATCTTCACATTTCCTAATCATTAACTCGAGCTAGCCTTTTGAGACTCAGGGAAGGCCTGGGAGACTAAAGCTTTTCTACAAACAAGAGGCACGTGGAGAACATGCGGTGGGTGGAAGTTTGTCCCAGAAAGGTCCCATAGGGTCCTGCTTGGTTACAGTCCCCTCTTTGATACTTCTCAATCCTGAGGAGGAACAAGTGCAGAACAAGAAAAGGAATAAGGTTTTGAATAGAGAGGCTAGTCACAAACTCCACAGAGGAACTCAGTTTTAAGAGACTCAGTTTTATTACTTAGAATTGGTAGTTAGTAGATTAATTTAGAAATTGGCAGCACCCAGAGGAAGAAGTATCAAAGATTAATGGGATCACTGGACATAGGTGCTAATCTGAGGGACTGAAGATGGTAAATTGGCATCAAAATGAGTAACTGCTATTGATTGAAACATCAAATACATTAAAAATTCTTGACTTCATAATGATTCCTTAAAAATGAAACTCATTAGTCATGATTGAAGGTTTCCAGGGCATCAACTCACTATCCTGAAACTTGATAAAAAATCATTTATCCTGCCTTTCTGATTTGAACAGGATTTTAGTGTAACCAAAATGCTAATGAGAATTCCAGCTAATAAACGAAGAATGTGTGATAGAACAATCATTACTACTCCTAATGAAATAATACAAAGGACAAAACTCATCAAGAGGCTAAAATTAAGATGAAATGTTGATGGGGAACTTTTTTAACAGACAGATTAAGCTATCACCCCCTGTACCCACTGGTCAACCTTACCATTAAGTTGAGGCAAACAGACATTATGCCCTTCCGGATGTGATGCAACAGAAAGCACACAGCACCACCTGTGAAGGACTCATGACCTAAAAATTGAAGCTGCATTTAATCAAAACTCTAGATTTAACATAGGCTATAGAGAATCAGCTAAATTCAGAATGTGGGACATTCTACAAGACTAAGGCCCCAGTTTATCATTGGCAATTAAAAGGTGGGGAAGGAACTAATACAAAATCAGAGACTTAAGAGACATATAACCAAGTGCAATTTATGGACCTTGTTTCGATCCTGATTTGAAGAAAGCAGCCATAAAAAGAAATTTTTGATACAACTGAAACTTTTAATATTAGATGATATTAAGGAATTGCTGTTAATTTTGCTAAGAATGTCAATGGAATATTGTTGTGTTAAAATAAGTCATCATTGATGCATATTGCAGTACTTACAGGTGAAATTTTTAAAAACTTTAAAATGATAGAAACACGGCAAAATGGTAACAATTTAATAAATCTAGGTGGTGAGCATAAAAGTGTTCATCATAAATAGGCTCTCTGAAATTGTCATAATAAAGATGAACATGGGAAAAATTATTACGAAGTTCATAGATATGAATACTTTGCAAATACATAATGAAACTTGTTCCATGTAAACCAAAAAAGGCAGTTAAAGCAAAGGATGGCACTGGCCAGTCTTCTGATTTGAACTAAGGTCTTTTTAAGTGTGGATCAACTGATTAGACTTTCTCACTTTTTTTCTTACATAAACCACAGACATAATGCATCATCTATAATTTCTAGTGTGTTTCTTTCAAGTGAACCAGGAACTTAAAGATACAAGTGAAGGAATCTGAACTCGGAGTCCTAAATTTGTATTTTTCTCTTCTGCAATACTCCTGATCACTTACAATTATCTTGGACACAACTAACTTGTCAGCTTTTCATCTCTAAAGTTCCCCCCTTTCCTTAAATGTAACTTTTCATTATTGAATTTCATTGGCTTATGTAATGCTTAAATTAAATAACTATAACAATGCCACTGGCATGAACAGGTTTGGGAACAAACAGCTAACTAGAGGTAAACAAACTACTCATCTGGTGGGAGCAGTCCTTCTCCAGCATATCCGAGGGGAGACCAGCTGTGAGCCTTCAACTTACTGTAAACCAGAGTCAGTATGCTTTAACCTGGTTAGCCAATCCAGTTGAGGAGGAGTACCAGGATGGGTAAAAACAGCCCCTATTATAAGCAAACATCTATCTTTTAAGAATCGCTCAGATGTGGGAGTACATACACATCCTGGCCCATCCTAACACTGTGGGGCCTGGGGCAAGAGTAGGAATGGAAGCCAACCCTGATATATTTTAAGTGTCTGAATAGGTGAGCGTCAAGCCTATACACATATGTTCACTTCTATCTTGACAAATATTTCTTCTCAAGGAACAGAAATCTAGGTTCAAAATTGGAATTCTCAGACTTGTGCTGGGAAGTGACAGCATGAGAACTAGGTCTTCTTGTTCTTCCCCCAAGTCCCTGGTCTGTTTCCTTTCAGCCTCTAGTATGCATGGAGGTGGACACCTCAGTCTGCACATCCAAGCTCCATGGACCACACCCTTCACGACCTGCCTCCCCTTGAAAATAGGGGTATATACACATGTAGTGCAGTCTGTCTTCCAGACAGGTTTGGGGAAGAGACCTGCATGTGTTGTGGAAGCAAGCTTTGGGCTGGTGGGACAGGGAATTATGGCGTCCTGGCTGTCTGGTTCACAGAGGGTAGTGGAATAAGACTACAAGTGGGTGCAATCCCTTAGCTTCTTTAACTGTTCATTCCATGGAGAGCCACAGCCAGAGAATGAGGATCGGAACAGGGACACCCCACGTCCCCACTCTTGCCCAAGTCTAAGTGTACACACACACACCCATTTTATCATACTATATAAACTGTTGGACTTGCTTTTTCCATTTCATAATAGCATGAAAATCCTTCCACTAATAGCATGTTCTGTATCAGCTATGTAGGTTAATGGAAGCACCACAACCTACCATCCCGGTGACCTTGTGCAAAAGGGGCATAAACATACTACTGGTACCATGCGGTGTAAATATACAACACTGTTTATTAAGAGAAACACTTAGAAAAGTAGAATGCACACAATTTCCTGAGCCCTCATCCCAGGGACCCAGCCAGGCACAGCAGGACTGGGTTACCAAGGAAAGGGCTCCTTAATTGAGGAAGCCTATTCCCATAATGGTCTACATACTTAGAACACTTGGGGAGAAAGGCATGCCGAATATATCTGGACAAGTATGTAACAACGGTGGCTTGCTAGTGCAGCAACTTAGAAAAGGGGAGCCTTCAGAATTCTGGTAGCCCATTCTTCAGTTAACAATTAGGTTGCTTGTATTTTGCTATTGAAATGCTGCAGTGAGTACTGGCTTATTTGGGAGTATGTATCTAAGAGATATACCTAGAAATTGAACTAACTTTTCCAAAGTGTGTGTATTTAAAATACTGATATTACTTAATTGTTCTCCAGAAATGTTGCATCCATTCACACTCCATCTTCTGTATGAGGGTACTGGTTTCTCAGTATAGTCTTCTCCCTGTAACTCAAGACTATCCACTATCTCTTCATTCTTCTCTTGGCGAAAATGACCTTAGTTACAGGAGCTCCAGCCTCGCCTGGTCATTGATTGGTTTTCTCTTTTCTCCTAGATTGGTTTCAAGTTAGAATATAAATGTTAAAAAGTCTTAGATTCTAGTTCTGACTCTCTCAGCTCGTCTACCAAAATGTAACCCAAGATGTGACAAGCTTCAAAGACAGACACTAAGTTCCTGATTTGTATTATAGTTACAGCGTGTTTCATCTT